CATTTAGGGCCAGCATTGTGGTATAGCGGGTACAGCCACTGCTTGCAACACCAGCATTCCATATGGGCGCCGATTCGTGTCCTAGTTACTCCACTTCTTATTCAGCTTCTTGTTAATGACCTGGGAAAGCAATAAAAGATGGCTCAAGTACTTGGGTCCACGCTACCCACGTGGGAGACAAGTAAAATTAATTTACCCCAATAGAGAATAAAAATAATTATCACAAAATAACATAATGTCAGTAACTTAAGAACAGCACAACTCTGCTCTTCTTATGTCCACAACATCCAACAAATTATCAACATGTTATTAGGATGCTTGAATGAATGGAAAACATGATCTGCATTGAAGGGCAAAAAGAGTCAAAATCCAGAGTGGAATCATCATGCTTAGGATTCAGTGCAATGATTTTAAATGTTTTCAACTACTTCAAAACATATTTATAATGAAGCAATATATGAGACTATCAGCAGCAAAGTGGAAACTTGAGGATTGAGTTTAAAACCAAATAAAAGATAATATAAGAAAAAGAAACTACAGGCCAGTATCTCTCATTGGCAGGGCTGCAAAAACTGCTAGCAAATTATTAACAAGTTGAATCCAGTGATGCATAAAAACATCAAGTGGGACTATTCAAGGTATGCCATGCTGGTTTAATATTCAAAAGCCAATTAATGTAACCTATACACCTTTTGGCTAAGAAAGAAAAATCATACTATCTTATCCATAGATGCATAAAAGGCATTTGACAAAATCCAACATTCATTTACGATACAATCTGTCAGTAAACTAGGTAATTGAGGAACTTCTTTAACATGATCAACAATGTAAACATAAAACATAAAACATGATATCTAATGGTGACAAACTTGAAACTTTTCCCCTAAGTACAGTAACAAGGAAAGAATGTTATCTTACTACACTTTTTCAATATCATATTAGAAATATTAGTAATATCAGTAAGACCAAAAAAAAAGTTAAGATTATGCAAATCAAGAATGCAGAAATACAGCTTTCTATGTTCACAGATGGCCTGACAGTCTATTCTGAAAATCAACAAAATCAACAAAAATATTGTGGGACTAATAACCAAGTAGAGCTAACACACAGGCTAGTCAGCACTCTTATTCACTCCCCAAATACCAGGACTGTTGTGGCTGGGTCAGGCCACAGAAAATAGCTAAGAGTTCCATCCAGGTCTCCACAGGGTGGCAGGGACACAAGGACTAGAGCCATTGCCTGCTGCCTTCCAGGATGCACACCAGCAGGAAGCTGGAGCAAGAAGCAGAGCTGGGACTCGAAACCAGGACAATTACTTCACATGTAAATGGACTAAACTCAAGAATAATCTACTGGGAGACTGAAAGGACAAAATGTATGAACTACTAGACAGGAACAAAATATGAAGGAACCTAAGAGAAAGAAGGCAACTTGAAAACACTATATCAAATGATTCCAAATATATGATATTCTGAAGAAGGCAAGGCAATGGATTCTCTAAAATCAGAACAAATTTAATTTTTTTCAAGTTTATAGAAATCTATCAACAAAGTGAATTGTATCTGTCTTTTCAGTTCTTCAGAAATGAAGGAAAATTAAGACAGATAAAAATTCAGGGTTTTCATTTCAAGCAGAATTTACAAGAAATGCTAAAAGGAGTCTTAAAGTTGAAATAGAAACAGCACTGATTAGAAAGGTGAGGACATGGGAAAGTATAAAACTACTGGTAAAATTAGTACAAAGACAATATCTGTATATTCTAATGTTGCATAATTGGTCCCTAAGTCAACCATAACTTTAGTATGAAGGTTAAAGGAAAATACTATTAAAATAATAATAGCTATAATCATTTATTAAGGAATATGCAATATAAAAAGATGTAAAATGTGAAATCAAAAATTTTAAATGTGTGAGAAGTGGTGAGGTAAAAATGTAATTTATATATGATCAAAGTTAAGTTGTTATCAGTTTAAAATAGATAATTACAAGATTTTTTCTAAGACTCATGATAACAATAAAGAAAAAATATAGTAAGATATTAGTTTTTTAATTACTACATTTTAAAAATACCGGAGTGAAGCTACGTAATTAGGGATAAGTTTTATTTTAACTCATAGTTTTTGCAGGCTCACAGACTAAGACTGGGAAGTCTCATTAACTGGGGTAATCCATGGGCCAGAGGATGGCAGATGAATGATCACATGGTGAGCCAAGAAGCAGAGGGCCAAACCCAGCTTAAATAACCACCCCAATCTGTGGAACCCCCTCCCAAAAGCATTCTCCTCAGCGGCCTCTCACAAGGTCCACCTCTTTAGATGCTATAATTGGATCAAGTGTCCATTAACCATTAATATTAATCCACTACACATTAGCCTAAGACTTTAGGGACCAAGCTCCTAAAACACAGGCCTGTGGCGGAATACCCAAGCTATTCAAACTAAAACAAGGGGATAGACAAAAGACAAAAAGTAAGGAATGAAACATTCCACTAGATAAAATTACCTAACTACAAAGAATATGCAACAAGTACAGATATAGGAACATAAGATCTAAGACAGATTCAGAAAACATTAACAAAATAAGACCAGTAAGTAGTTACATATCAGTAATTACCTTCAACATAAATGGATTAAATCCTCCAATCAAGGGGGCATAGCAGGTTAAGTTGCCAACTGGGACACTGGCTGCTCCACTTTCAATCAGCTCCTTGCTAATTAGCCTGCCTGGGGAAGCAGCTGAAGATGGTCCAAGTCCCTGTGCCCTTGCGTGCATGTAAGAGACCCGGATGAAGTGACAGGCTACTGGCTTCAGCCTGGCCGAGTTTTGGCCATTGCAGCCATTTGGGGAATGAGCCAGTGGATGGAAGATTCTCTCCTTACCTCCCTCACTCCCTCCCTCCTTCTTTGATTTTCAGATAAAATTAATAAATCTGAAAAGCCCTCCAATCAAAAGACAAAGCATGTCAAAATGGGCAACAAAGTAAGACGCAGCTGTATGTTGCCAAGAACACTCGCCTTACTCACAGACTGAAAGTGGGGAAGATATTCCATGGAATTCCAATGGAAACCCAAAGAGAGCAAAAATAACTACACTTATACCAGATAAAACAGGCTTCAAATTAAAAAAAGAAAAAAAACTATAAAGGATACATAACTATATAATTATAAAGGGATCAATTCATTAAGAAAATTTATCATCATTAAAAAAGGGCGTTGGGGAGGTCAGCAGGTTAAGAATCCCAGTTGCAGGGCTGGCAATAATCAGTTAAGTCACAGCCTGCAGTGCTGGCATCCCATACAGGCACTGGTTCGAGTCCCAGCTGCTCCTCTTTTGATCCAGCTAATGTACCTGGGAAACCAGTAGAAGACGGCCCAAGTGTTTGGGCCCCTATACCCATGCAGATGACCTGTCTCTCCTTCCCTGTCTATAACTCCATCTTTCAAATAAATAAAATAAATCTTAAAAAAAAAAAAAAAGGAATCCTGGTTGCTTTGCATCTGAAACAGTTTCCTGCTAATGTACCTGGGAAGGCAGAGGATAATGGCTCCTGGCCCCTGGCTTTGCCTGACCCTGACCTGGCTGCTGCTGTCTTTTGGGGAGTAAACCAGTGTATGGAAGAACTCTGTCTTTTCCTCTCCTTCTTACTGTCTCTTTCCTCTTCTTCCCTTCTCTCTCCCTTCAACATTCACTCCCTCTCTTCACCTTTCTAAAATTCAACTAAATAAATAATCTTTAAAAAAAGAATATCAGTTCTGTGTGTGTGTGTGTGTGTGTATCTCCAAAATCAAGACACTGCAAATATACAGTGGGAATACTAATAAATTTGAAGGGACAGATATACTAAGACAATAGTAGTTGAGGACTTCAATACAAAAGTTTTACCAGAAGGTAAATTATCCAGATAGAGAACCAGTAATAAAATGCTGGACTTAAACTACACATTAGGTGCTAGCACTGTGGCATAGTGGGATAAGCTGCCACTTGTGATAATGGCATCTCATATCAGAGTGCTGGTTTGAGACTGGGCAGCTCAGCTGCCAACACAGCTCCCTGCTGATGCACCTGGGAAGGCAAGGACAGATGACTTAAGTGCTTGTGACTCTGCCACACATGTCAGAGAACCAGATGAAGTTCTGGGTTACTGGCTTTGGTCTGGCTTACAGTGGACCCACTGTGGCTATTTGGGGAGTGAAGCACTCTTGCTTGTGCTCTCTCCCTCTCCCTGTATGTGTGTGTTTTCATCTTTGTCACTCTAACGAAGGAAGGAAGGAAGGAAGGAAGGAAGGAAGGAAGGAAGGAAGGAAGGAAGGAAGGAAAGAAGGAAGGAAGGAAGGAAGGAAGGAGGGAGGGAGGGAGGGAGGGAGGAAATCTTGAAACAATTAAAAACAAACCTGAGGCCAGTGCTGTGGCGTAGCAGGTAAAGCCACTACCTGCAATGCTGGCATCCCATTTGGGTGCCAGTTCTAATCCTGGCTGCTCCTCTTCCAATCCACATCTCTGCTATGGACTGGGAAAGCAATGGAAGATGGCCCAAGTGCTGGGTCCCTGAACCTGTGTGGGAGACCTGGAAGAAGCTCCTGGCTCCTGGCTTCAGATCAGCCCAGCTCTGGCCATTGAGGTCATTTGGGGCATGAACCAGTGGTTGGAAGACACCCCGCCACCACCTCTGCCTCTGCCTCTCTGTAATTCTACATTTCAAATAAACAAATAAATCTTTAAAAAATAACTTAAAAACTACAGTTTTGTCCATTTAGGTACAAGATATATACAGAATATTTCACCCTACAGTAGGAATATATATATTTTTCTCAAGCACGTAAGAGGATTCTCTAGGGTGATTTGTATATGAGGCTATAAAATAAGTCTTAAAACAAATTTCTAAAGATTGCAGTTCTATCTATTAGTTTCCTAACCACAAAAGAATAAAACTAGGGATCAACACCAGGAAGAATTAAAAAAAATACAAATACATAGAAATTAGAAAACATACTTCTATACAATCAACAAGTCAAAACTAATGCAACAAGTGAAAATAGGTGAGCAATGTACCAAAACTTATAGGATGCAGCAAATGGCTTCTTACAGGAAATTTTACAACATCAAAAAAGAAAGATTTCAGA